AACCAAAAGGAAGGCCAGTTCTGAACAGGCCTTCAGCAAAAGGACAAGGCTGTCAGAGTCTGTGACAAGCAGGGGAGTTGGCGAGGGGCCTTTGGACTACAAGGAGAATGATCCAACTTCATCCTCGGTGAACACTGGCAGAGGTATGCTTGAAATTCTGAATCCCTCAAACCACATTTTGTGCTTCATTTAACACTCATTAAATACTTAATCTTAGACATTGCCTTGTGTTAGAGTTCAGGTAACACTGGTACCATATTACCATAGTCCTTTCTCACACGTTATGAAACAAAATTGGTTCTTGATTGTGTCCGTTCAGCTGAATTTGAAGCCAGATACATCCAGGAGCATCAACTTGGTGAAGGAGGGTTTGGATCAGTGTTTGCTGGCTATCGTAAAGCAGACAATTTACCGGTAAGGATCGTTACATGCTTTTCATGAACAGAATGCAAACTATATCATCCTGAAGCGCTAACCAAAATCCTGTTTGTTTCTTGTAGGTGGCCATAAAACACATTCCAAAAAACAAGATTTTTTGGGAAAACAAGGCAAGTGAGCAACACCAGTTACTACTACTCTGATTCATCACTGAAATAACTGATGTTTATTTATGAGTTTGAGTTTCTGTAATGCTCAAATCTTTTGATTTGGTGGTCATACAGGCTGAGGATGGGAAGTGTCTTTCAGTGGAGGTGGCCATTATGTTGAAACTCCAGGATGGAAAAACTGGACAGCTGCTGAACTCGACATCTGTGTCCTTGCTGGATTGGTACAATCTACAGGAGGAGCAAATTCTGGTGCTTGAGCGACCAATCCCTGCACAGGACCTCCTTCAGTTCATTGAAGTCAATGGAGGTTGTGTAAAGGAGGGCGTGGCTAAGGTAAGATGATTGGGGGTCTTTATAAGTGTGTATTAAACATTTCTATTGCTGATACTAAATTCCCTGTAACCTTTCACCATTTCTACATTTGAAGGCCTCAGACAAAATTTACCTATAATTCAGCTATGCTGAGGAGGAGAACTAAAAATTTATTCACCTCCTGAGCACCTAAACAAAGTGTGGAATTGGCAACATGTCCTGCAGTTTTCATTTTGGTTATGTAAATGCCATCTTTATACAAGTAATTACAGTAATAGGACTGCCTTGTGGGGATGGCAGTATGGCACTTTGAACTAGCAATGCATAGAAACCCCCCCCCCAATTCTCACACAGCATGTTTATTTGCCTCTTTCAGATCATACTGAAACAGCTGGTCGCTGGAGCATTGGCGTTTGAGGACAAGAACATCTTTCACCGTGATATTAAGGTGGAAAACGTTCTAATAGAGACCGGCTCAGATGTTCCACGTGTTTGGCTGATTGACTTTGGCCTTAGCTGTTTTGTGCAGGAAGACTCTTTCAAAGTGTTCTATGGTATGTTGTCCTGCTTCAGCCTACCTATTTGTTTACCAGTTTACCCATTTGCTTTAATCCTTTTCTTAATGAGGTCTCATTCCTGTATTTTGCAGGCACAGTTGCTCACGCTCCTCCTGAGTGGTACAGCTGTTGCAGCTACAGTGCTGGTCCTACAACAGTGTGGCAGCTGGGAGTGCTACTTTATGAAAGCCTCCACAGAAAACAGTTTGAGACCCAAGAGTTTATCAGGCACAAACTAAAGATCAGCAAGAGGCTCTCAAAAAGTAAGAAACACTCTTGCATGATGAACTGTCAGCACAGGTCTGGTGTAGTTCACCTTCTTAAATCACTGTAGATCTCACCACATTTCCTTTGGTTGCTCCTCAGATTGCCGTCATTTCTTGAGAACTTGTCTAAATAAAGTTCCTGAGCAACGTCCCACTCTGAAGCAACTCTATCAGCACCCGTGGCTCTCAAACTGAAATGGTAACGCACACACGATAATATTGAACAGCGTTATTAATTTTTGTCTTTCTGTTAAGGTGACGTGTAATATATGCTAGATGGTCTCTTATGTTCTTTCCCCACATTTGTGACCATCAGGTAAAATGGGTACAGAGTGGTACATTCGATTCACCTGCGGCACTGGTTCTGCTACAGTGTGGAGAGGACTGAATACAATCACCAGATGGAGTACAGCGAGCAGAGAAGGCCCAGAGTCTGGAGAAAAGGTTTGGGCTAATAGATTGCACCAGTTCATGTTTTTGATTTCTCCAGTGCCTTCAACACAATCCAGCCCACAGTGCTAAAGGGGAAGCTGCAGGGAGTGTGAGTGGACCATCTGTTGTCCACATGGATTGTTAACTACCTTACTAGTAGACCCCAGTATGTGGGACTGCGTGTCTGAGGTGGTAGTTTGTTACACAGGGGTCCCACAAGGAACAGTACTTGCCCCTTTTCTCTTCACTGTGGACTTCGGTTATAACACAGACACTTGCCAGCTCCGGAAGTTCTCAGAAGACACCGCCATTGTGGGTCAGGTGTCAAAGGGAAACTAACTGGAATACAGGGAGTCATTAATGATGTTCTCAGCTGGTGTGAACAGAACCATCTTTGCATTAAGCCAGCAAGACAAATCATAGCCTAACCTAAAGACAAAAATAAGAAATCATCCGACTTAGTCGTAAACTTAAGCAGATCTCTATTGATACCTCCACCCCAATTACTCTGCTTTCTGATGTGAAGATGGAGTTTTTGTTTGCCATCCACAGGTTTCATACTGGCCTATTTGTCTTAGTAGTTTCTCCTTACACAAGCAATTAAGGGGAGAAAAAAAAAATGTGCTTTTTACACCTATGTTCCACATGTCTTGCTGATTGACTTTGTCTGAGCAGTTTTGTGCAGCTTCCATAGCATGATGCGTTAACTGGAATTTTACCAATTTCCCTCTCTGCTGCCCTTATGGGTAGAGCCATTGTGGAACTGAGTGCAGCAGGTACTTTGATAGAAGAGATTCTAGTTCCAAATTACTTGATATTCTTGGAGAGATACGATTGACCAATTTGTCAGATTTTAGGTCAAGTCATTTGTAACAGTTTAAAGTCTCAACTTTGACACAACACCATCACTTACGGCTATGACTGGACACAAGCACTCCTGATACAACTGTGGTCAAATCAGATTTAGAATTTATCAGAGTGCCATCTGTTGTCAGAAAGTGACATTGCAGGTAACTGTCAGTATGGGACATTTAAGTTAGAGTAAAGGGACAAACCAATTTTGCTCATTATACAGGATGTCCTGCTAAAACCGAAGAGTTGACAACCTTCGAAACAGCCCAGCATGCCTCTCTTGCACCACCATTTCAGCATGATAAACTGTCCAGATTTCTAGAAATGAGAGTTGCTCCATCCAAAGTAGGATGCCATCTCTCCTAACAAGACTAGGTTTCCCAATCTATAAAGGCCATGTCTTTTTAGACACCACTCAGACTGCAATATGAGAACATTCAACTAAACATGTCACTCCTGGTCTAATTTGGGAGGGGACAAAAAACAAAACCACGAAAGTCCAACAGCGTTTGGCAATGTCACACTTAGATTCAATATTAAATTTGATGAACTCCAAATGACATAACCAGGTGTCATTACTGCAGCTACAAGCAGTGTCTGCAATGCAGACAATGGCTACAGGTCGCTATAAATTCAGGGTCATCTGTAGTCTGCCTTTCTTTCAACAAACAGCACAATGGCACCACAGAACACATCAGTCAAGCTCTGCAAGGAAACCAAAAGGAAGGCCAGTTCTGAACAGGCCTTCAGCAAAAGGACAAGGCTGTCAGAGTCTGTG